ACAATTTTTGAACAAATATGTTCAATAGTTGACTGCCACATAAAATGTTGTAAATTTATATATAATATCAATTAAAATACTATAGAAATTAATGAACTGGCACGACAGTATTAATGTAAATGAGATAAATGATAAAATAAATAAAACACAAGAACGTGTACATAGACACAACATACACGTAGTTACTGGACACATTACGCACATGTGTAGACACACATTGCGCACATACATATAAATAGTAAAAACACACACACACACACACACGTTCATGGGGTTTTGGCAGAGTGGGCGTCGCCGTTACCACACACAAGTGGAGCACCAAGTCACACTCCATATTGCATCAAGACTCCCACAGTAATGCCTTGCTCCTGTTTTTTTTATGTAAAATGTTCGTGGCATCGAATTATGTACCGTTGCAATTAAAGGAACGCATGATGTGCCGTGTAAACTTAATTACGAAATTCACTTGTCATCGTAGATAGTAAAAATATTAATGTCATTATATTTTCATTATAAGACGAGAGTCGGGTCCATTAAACTAATTTAAGTAAGGCCAAGTTGCGTAACAAGCAAAGTTTTCCTGAAATTACATATTTTTCAAGTTTTTCTTGAGGAATGAAAAAAATACATACTTCATTATATATGATTTTGTTTTGTTCATTTCAAACTAACAGAGAATAAGAAATTTGATCACACCTAACATACCGTACCTAATATAACTGAGTCAGTAATTTAATATCTTAATTTATTATAATATAATAATATTGATTATTATATTATAATAATATAATATATTAGTCAGTAATTTATGTTCTTAATTGATTATATAATAATATTATTTCAAACCAATTTGACAAGAAAAATTACAAAATAACGAAAATTACTCTGCTTGTTAGGCAAATGTAGTCTGTGTGGCCGGAGATACTATCCGAGTGGCTTAAGTTGAGGGATAAGAAGTAAAACAAGATTATATTTGCATTTTTATTAACTTTAGTAAAATATTACACCTGACGACGTCAAAATTATGTACAAGAGCCTGGCGCTTCCGCGGTAGCGCTAAGCTACTAAGGTTATCTTTAGCTACACAGGACAAAGTTGTCATGAAGATTTTACCGTTTCACTGATAAAGTCAGAGGCCTTGGCTGATCTTCAAGCCCACCTGATCGGCCTCTAAATTCAGCCGATTACCTTCAAATCGAGATTATCGACCTTGAAACCAAACTGAGCAGCGTCCAATTCCGTCTCATAGGATTGGAGGAGGATCCTCTAACAATGGAGGATTAGTGGTGGAGTGCACCTCCACCACGCCTCTAAAATTAGCTTACCAATCTCAAGGACCATCTTACTGGCACCCCAGACCAGCTGACTGATGGCCAAGTCTCAAAAAAACCTCAGTTTTGAATACTGAGTAATTTTTTATCAATGAACAATTCTTGAAGAACACAAATGATCACTTCATGAACCATTCTTGAACAAAGATGAACATTTCATGAAGAATTCTTGAGCAAAAATGAACATGTCACGAACAGTTCTTGAAGTAAATAGGACAAGGACTTTGGCAGAGTACGTTGACCCACTCGTTACGTCACATGTAAACAAGGAACTGACCTGGTGACCTTCATGACTTAACTGGATTTACCTGAAGGCCACCATCTCTCTCTACTGGCCTCGACGGGGACAGGAAGCCAGCGACATGTCGTCTCACCGGTTAACCATGTGAACTTACTGGTCAATTAAGTTCACATGGTAGGCCTGGGAAGGGTTGTAGTTGACCCTTCCCTAAATTTCATCCTGGGGAGGGTCAGAGGTTCAACTTTTGGGGGTCTAGATATAAGTCTAACATGTATGTATATACAAAAGGCTGCCTGTCTCCAACTAAATAAATTAAGTTCAAATTAAATATACGTCAGATTTATACTGAATCTAACATATATATTTATTGAGCCCTACAGTTGAACTACTGACTCTTCCTAGGATGCAACCCCACAACAATTGACTAACTCCTGGGTACCCCAGTTACTACTAGGTGAACAGCGGCATTAGGTGATAGGAAACGTGCCCAACCATTTCTGCCCAGCAGGGATTCGAACTCGGGATTCCCGTGTGTGACTCGAGAACGAACCAACTGTACTACTGAGACCTCCAAGATGGTCAACCTCCAAGATCAGCTTCCTGACATAAGTTCAGCTTATCAACCTTCCTGAACACGTAACTGAGCTCTAAAATAAAATAAGGGGCATCGAATTTCCATCCACGAACTATTTACGAACTTTAGACACTGTAATGATCTTTCTTGAACCAGAGACAAGTTACAGACCCGCTCCAGTGCCAGGTAAGTCCACTACGGGCTCACCATAGCCCGTGCTACTTGGAACGTTTTGTTCCCAGTAGCTAAATCTTAAAACAACAACAAATTGAGCCAGATTATTGATCTCCAAGGTGTAGTCTCTCCCCGGGGACTTCCATTCTCTAGTCCAATCACGCCTCTACCCCCCCCCCCTCTACCCGTTAGAACCAGCCCCCCCTCCCCCCCCATACATGCAGTACACGAGCATAGTTATGGCATAAAAAACAACAGAACAAGCCATTAACCTCCGACACTATGTCAAGCAACTGTACAAAGCACTCACAAAATTACCCTCTAAACCACTCATTAATCACTACTCTTAGGCACTTACAAAACACATACAATACACTCTTAAAGTGATTGTAAAGTGATGCAAAATTTCTAGCTTACTAAGATGCCTAAAGTGTTTGTATAAAGCACTTATAAACCTGTAACAGTTCACTTCAGCAGTGATTTTGAGGCACTTATTAACTGCACTCACAAGCACTTAGATGACGCACCTAAAGAGGATCACGAAAGACAATACGTTACTCCTGTCAACTAAGTCTTCAACTCACCAATCTCATCAATTGACCAATCTCATGAACTCTCCAATCTCGTCAACTGACAGTTCCCACTCTGACTAAACTCCGCTTCACACTGACGCCTCATAAACCTGCAACACACACTCGCTGAACTATGTGAACGCCGAATGAAGAGCGCTGTGAACGCCGAATGAAGAGCGCTGTGAACGCCGAATGAAGAGCGCTGTGAACGCTGAATGAAGAGCGCTGTGAACGCCGAATGAAGAGCGCTGTGAACGCCGAATGAAGAGCGCTGTGAACGCCGGGGTGAAGAGCGCTCCGAACGCCGGGGTGCAGAACGCTTAATCTCTTGTTAAACAACACTAAACTAAACCAGTAAAAGTAACAGAGCAATCGGAGACGACAAACTCGCCTGACTTAGACAAAAGTATTGAGTTTTAGTGCTTAGAAACGACGTATATTTTATGAATAAATCGCTTACCGCCTCTTGAAAACCTGGAGCAGGATCCGTCAACCATAACCGTTAACGAAACCTCCATTTCAACAGCTATGGCGGCTTTGTTTACATATATATATATTAACGTTTATGAGCTGGGAAGCACTACGAGGTTTATAACAATAACAACCTTGGGTTGTGAAGTTTACAAGCTCGTAAACTTTAATAAATGTAAAATTAAGCTGCTATGATTGAGAAAAGATGTACAGATTTCGTAAAAGTTTGATAAATCTTGGCCTAGGTGTGTGTGTGCAAGCTTAAGGAAATTGGAGTAGATGGAACTTTCAAAGCCATGAACAACTTAACTATCCAAACTCTCAAATTGGTACAAATAACGGTTTCTCTCTCAAGCCCGCCATAGGAGATGCAATACCTACCTATTCAGACCTATTAACCCCCACCCCCTCCCCAAAGGTGGTGAGGCTGGATGACTCCTGTGGAATGTATTCTGGATGACTCCTGGGAATGTACCCAGGGTAGCCAGTCTTCGTGAGACCTATGTAACGTACTCTACGGGTAGTTCAAATTCAAAATTTTGAATTTGATCCCGGATGACTCCTGTACATCGTACCTCTGGGTAGTAAGTCTGGATGACTACTGAGGGGAAACCTTTACTACGACATCGTAACGATAACCTCTGCAGCCTGTGTCGACGCAGATGACTGGAACCCAATTTTTCATTGACATGTAAACACATGGCGGACACATTAATGGAAGAGACCTCGTCACGGTGTTGGAAACATTGTTAAATACAACTCAAGACACAGATCTTGGGAGAACCAAGCATGAACCAACCGTTTATATATCTCCCAAATATCCGACTATCTGGCGAATGTCCGATTATCTACCGAATATCCGGTTATCTACCGAATATGAGACTCACTGTCTAGCATTCAACTATCTCTGAGCATCTGCCAAATATCCGACCCACTCCTTAACATCCAACGATCTACCAAACACCTGACTAACCGCCAAACATCCAACTATCTACCAAACATTCTACTCGCTGCTGCTGCCAAACTCTCCAAAATGCCACGGCTAAGATATCTTGTGAACACCAAATATAAACCAATCGATTCACTGCCATCATCTGATTATCTTCAAATATCTGACTTCTACCAGACATCCGACTCTCTGTCAAGGTATCCGACTCTGTCAAGGAATCCTACTCTCTGTCAAGGATCTGAATCTCTGCCAGGGTTTCCGACTCTGCCGAATATCAGACTCTCCAATAGCTCTCTCGCTACATTAATAATAAACAAAAAAAATGTGTCACAATTGACTACCAGAGAGCTCCTCCCTTTGCGAGAGAAGCGAAATTTCAACGTCCATATAATCGGAAAAACGCTGGATTATGAAACCCATTCCGGTAAAGGCTGATCTAACCGCTGTTATTTCAACCATTCACAAATATTGTAAGTTAATATAGGCAATTACAGCACGAAATTGCATTTAATCTATTTCAAAATACTAATATTGATTTACAGAAAACAGTCCACAACAATTCAGTTCTAGCTTCAAAAATTGATGATTTAGCTAACAGAAGACACTTAATAAAATAATATTATATATATATATATATATATATATATATATATATATATATATATATATATATATATATATATATATAATTTAACAATGAAAACACACAATAGTAATTATATGTTGGTCAATTAAGAGAGGGATTGGTGGTGTACACTGTGTGTGTGTGTGTGTGTGTGTGTGTGTGTGTGTGTGTGTGTGTGTGTGTGTGTGTGTGTGTGTGTGTGTGTGTGTATCAACGCACCTTACCAACCCCAGGGAGGCCTGGGAAGGCTTACAGTCACAAATGTTCACCCTGGGAGAACAATTGTGTGAGGGGGAGCAACGTGTGGCCCGGCCGGGGATCGAACCCAGGACCAATAGATTATAGTCCTCGTACTGCTCATGAAGACCTCTACATGTGCATACATGTGCTGCAGTTACCAGGGTATATGTGAAGCCTTGCAATCCAGGAGTTATGTCTACCACCACCTCCAGCCTTGTACCACAACCCAGGAGTTATATCTACCACCACCTCCAGCCTTGTACCACAACCCAGGAGTTATGTCTACCGCCACCTCCAGCCTTGTACCACAACCCAGGAGTTATGTCTACCACCACCTCCAGACCTTGTACCACAACCCAGGAGTTATATCTACCACCACCTCCAGACCTTGTACCACAACCCAGGAGTTATGTCTACCACCACCTCCAGCCTTGTACCACAACCCAGGAGTTATGTCTACCACCACCTCCAGCCTTGTACCACAACCCAGGAGTTATGTACCACCACCTCCAGACCTTGTACCACAACCCAGGAGTTATATCTACCACCGCCTCCAGACCTTGTACCACAACCCAGGAGTTATATCTACCACCACCTCCAGCCTTGTACCACAACCCAGGAGTTACAACTACCGCCACCAACACTTCCAGTCAGCCAAGGACCAGCAACAACCGATACAAATGAACATTGAGGACGGTGAGTTCCCGTGCCGAAGGACCCACTGACTTCAGGGACCAGGCCGCTCGAAGTCCTACAACAAGAGCTTCAATAGTCAGTCCTTGGGCAGCGCCGAGTCACTCTTGCCTCGGACGTAGATCCTGGTGGCCTTGGTGCCCAGGACGCGGTCCAGCAGCGACGTCTTGCTCCTCTTGCGGACGTTCTGCACCTCCTTGAAGACCTCGTGGAAGGCGGTAGCCACCTGCAACACATGTTCCGATGCTGCTACTTCGCTAAAATAGCACTCCACGTCCTTCGCCAGGATCTCCCCTGAGTCAGATGGGAGAGAGAGAACGGTTGGTGGTTACTGGTGCAATGTTTGGTGCGGTGGTTGGTCTTAAACCCTATCAACCTCTGGAAGGTTATAAAGGCCACCGCAATAACCGACCGACAACCAGCGAGTATACTCTAGTCCTTAACATAGTCCAGAACTAAAGTAAGGTTAGTGTTTATATACCAAGAAGCGAGGTACTCCTCTAAGTGTAAATAAAATGATGGTCTAGGTGTTGTGGTGACACTGCTCAATGGTGCAAAATGTTTCAGTTTCGCAGTGAGGGAGAGCCGCTGGGCCAGGATTCACACAACCACTAAAGTGTCCACTTACGACATCTGCTTCTCTTATCTCACTCATGGCGACTTTAACAGTATTTATTACGAGCCCTGAAGTACGCTACGAGGTGGCCTTCAAGGGTATTATTGTCATGGACGACCTCATAAAAATTAAGAGCTCCGAAAATGTTTGGTATATACAGACTAAGCCGCCGTGACTGAGGCGAGTGGTACAGCCCTCTTAAGTGGAGATGAAACAGCTACGTGAACCCTGGTCCCGGGCGACAGGTAGAGTTGGGTTATACAGTTTCATGAAATGATTTCACTACCGTTAAAAATTTGATACAAAGCTTTTAGCCATAGATGTAATTCAGTAATTATCAAAAGGCGGCAGCAATTCGGGAAAACTATGTAGCACCATGTGTCGCCGGATATTCAAAAGGTACTAAATATCACTTAGGACAGAAACTGAGCGATATGAAAGGGATCAGATTCACCAAGGATTCCATCGAGGAGCAAATGTCCCCGAGAGACATTAGGAAAGCAAACCACAAGATCGTACTGAAAACCAGGACATTCTACAAAACTGTTAAGTGGGACGATGCAGTTTAGACAACAACGGGCAGGGCGGCGTCCCATTCAAGTGCCCATGAGTTAAGCGTGTGTGGCTAATGTGTAATCTAGCCAGAGTTGTTTCCTGCCTTCTAGTACGGTGGTATGAGGAAGGCCAAGGGCATGGGCTACCCTTGAGAGTGCGCAGGTTGTTACCTGTAACGCCACACCAACGACCCTCCCAATGGTTGCAGGCTGAGATACGATTGACTGGGAAGAAATCTGATTAAGGAATGCTTTCTCATGAAATAAGACAAGTGCGGACAGCCTCCTTAGAGGCAGTGTTCGCACCTTCATTTAATTAAACTAAACTGTTTAAATCTGCTAGAGATAAGAAACGACCAATATTGGATTTCAACCACAACAGGAGAGGACCGGTGAATGACTCCAGGACCATGAGGGCACTGCTAGAGTCAACCATAATGACAAAGGAACGTTGACGTCGGGGAAAGCAGTTGATCAAGTGGATAAAAAGATTACATAACGTTCAGCCGTAAAGATGCTATTGTCCGGGGGTAGGCGGCACATATATGTTTGATCAGGAGAGACAACGGGGCACTTTACGCCGTCGGCAGACTGAGACATCTGTGAAGACAACAACGGAATGGAATGGAACTATCAAGAGAAAGCACCAAGCCATTACCACTATATAGCACTTGGAAGGGATCAGGATAAGGATTTGGGGTGGGACGGGCAAGGAAGGAAGGATGCCCAACCACTTGGACGGTTGGGGATTGAACCCCGACCTGTGTGTCAGTCCGGATTGGGTTAAAAGTGACACAGGTATCCACAGAGTTAACCAGGTGCTTATGACTGTGCACACCATCGGGGCGTGGATGGTCATCATGACAAACATCAAAGTACTTAGGCCACTTAATGGGACCAAAAATCCTAGAACGTAGAAGTTAGTGTTTGAAGGACTCTTACGTGTCTGAGTGCGGTGACGGTTCCATGATCCCCAATTAAGGAGGAAGGTAAAAGGCACACTTGTCAGAAGGGAAGATGAAGCCACGGCAGGTGATGAGGTAGTCAACACTGGGAGCTTGGGGCTCAACCCTGCCAAGAAAGTGGGCGGGGGGAAGAGTGTGTCAGTTGAGGTAGTAAAAAATGCAGCCTGATCAGAGCCCGGCGTACCCGGGCTATGGAGCCCGACCTTCCATCACTGGCTGACTCGGGAGCCTGGTCGTCTACCCCACGAGTCTCTTTGAGAAGTAATTTTGTTTACATCATTGTTTTCAAATGTTTGGGTCTCTGAGCCAAGGAATACCACCTAGTAGGGCAGCGAGAGAGGCCGAGCGCTGGCCTATGCAGGAAGGGGTGCGTCGCGCCGCGCGGTGCTCCCTCCTTTTTTTGCTGGGAAAGTCCTTCTGCCTCGTACATTCACCCACACTGGTAGTGCCAACACTTCTCTCGCCCTCTCGCCTCAGCCTGGACACCCAGCCAGCCTCGTAGGGCGGTCCTTCATGGGCGATCCCTGCAGCAGGTGGTCCGTTGACCCGAACTGGATATCTCTACGTGTGTTTCATTTCGCAAGTACAACGCCCGGAGAGGCAACCCCCACTGGCCCCAGGGAGTTGAATGTGAGCCCGCTCACCACGACAAGGCCACATTCTTGAGGGGAGACAGCGCCTCAGTGATTAAGCACAGTTGCTCATTCAGATTATGGAGTCCTTTTGGGGCAGTGACGGACAGTAAGGTAAGGCGGGGAAGTTCAGTTGCCACAACAGCCTAGTAGAGCGGGTTTTACAATTATTGATGACTTTATTTACATTTATTGTGCTTTACCATTGCAGATAGGTTAGTAAATAATTGATATCAGCAACTATTTTCCTTCCCGCTACCTCTGATATGTGATTGATCGATCGAGAACCGAGTTTCGGATTACATACACACTGTGGGAATTGTGTGGGAGGATATTAGTCCTGGATCACAGGGTTCAGGTCACGGGAGAGCGCTACACCGGACAACGGGCCTGTTTTAAGAAGACACGCAGGTCATACTAAAGCCCCAGTCTGTGTTCACCTCCAGAGTTAAAGGCTTGTCACCGAACAGTCGTACCACTGAACGTCGATCAGTGGTACGATCGTCGATCAATAAGGCTAACAGCCACTGAAAGTCGATCCTTATGTGTGTTGGCGCTCGACGAGGCTACGGCAGCTTTGAAGATCAGAGAGCTGGCAGTTCATGAGACAATTGTCACGGAAAACTCCACTCACCCCACTATTCTTGGGAGGACTATTCTCACCCCACTATTCTTAGGACCAACAGGGAGTTGAAGTCAACGTGAATCTACTGGGGTCTCCTGGCGATCGGTGTAATGAGGACGGGAAGGGACGGGTGAACGTGACATTAGTGACAAAGCCCCAACAACAACCTTATGAAGTTACTTAAGACCTTTCTTCCTCCTCGCCCCCCCCCCCTTCCCCCCGCCATGCCTCTGACAGCAGACAACTTCAGGTGACAGGCTTCATTAGTCTCGATGCCAATAAATAAGGAAGCCAACATGTGTTGATGGTCTTGTTGCCATCTATCTTTAGGTGAGTAAGAGAGAGAGAGAGAGAGAGAGAGAGAGAGAGAGAGAGAGAGAGAGAGAGAGAGAGAGAGAGAGAGAGAGAGAGAGAGAGAGAGAGAGAGAGAGAGAGAAAGACATTCAGCAGATGACCATAACCAGACGAGAGAGACACACACACGACACACACCCGGCACTACACATGGTGGCAGGTCCCAGGAACACGTGCCACATATGTAAAGTGTGTCAAAGCAACGTCGAACTAGTGCGGACGAGAAGGGTGTTAGGACGGGTATCAAGACAGGTGTTAAGACGGGTACTAAACAAGGGGTGCCAAGAGAGGGTTGCATTTGTAACGGATCCAACAATTGAGTTAAAAATTTGGCATATTAGTAAAAAAATACAGTGGTGTATTAATGACGTTTTGTGTAGTGTACATGGACAGGTTAGGGTGTCTTGTTAGGACAAGACGTGTATAGATCACGTGACATAGATGACGAAGCTTCTGGAATATTCAGTCAACAATTTATCAACCCAACGAATAATACAATATCAATAAATCATAAACTACTGTATTTCTTGACCACACAAGCTTATAATAAACTATCCTCTTACTGGACGCACTACATTTTTTACGTAATAGAACTGCCGTAAAAAAACACAGTGATATTTAGGGATATTAAAGAGGACTATGATACTACGCTTTTGGTGAAGTTAAACCACTGCATTATTTACGGAATGGGAATTAAGAGTAGCGATGGTGAGGGAGAGAATTATCAGGGGGAAAGCGCCAAGCCATTACGACTATATAGCACTGGGAAGGGGTCAGGATAAGGATTAGGGATGGGACGGAGGGAAGGAATGATGAGTAGGGATGGTTAGTACTTACCTTCCTCTGTGGAGACCTGCCGAAGGTGAACCATATCTGCCTTGTTAGCTAGCAGGACCATGGGGGGACCTAGCGTGGGAGACACATCCCCTCCCACGCCGCCCCCAGGTGTGTGCGGCGTGGGCGTGAGGGTGGCACTGCCGCCCAGGCCGCCCGCACGCCCACTGGCCTTCCTCTCGGAGATGTGGAGTCGCACCCTCTTGACCCAGTTGAAGCTGTGACGGTCAGTAATGGAGTACACGAGCAGGAACCCGTCCGCCCAGCTGATGGTCTCTTGCGACGGCACCGCCTCGCTGTTCTGCCGGGGAGAGTGGCAGCGTCAGTGTGGCACCGTGCGGCACCCTGTGTGTGGCACTGGGTGGAGCACCGTGTATGGCACCTTGTGGCACCTTCAGTGTGCCACAAGGTGCCTTGAGAATGATCCAGGACGGACCGAAACGTCGTAGTCCCTTCACCTTCTAGGGTGTTGTCTGGTCAACTTACTTTAGCCACGTTATTGTGACTCATAACCTGCAGAGGGCATGTAGGACAGAGACTGGGAACCTAGCGCCCCCTATGACGGGGCAAACAAGAAGCTGCCATATTAATAAACCTCGGAAGACTCAGAATCACCTCAAGACGATGTAGACTGGGGTTTGAAATGGTCAAGAGACTGACAGATGCAGATTAATGCTGACAATTATAAGGGTGTGAGGCAAGGTAATGATAATAGAGTTACACGATGTCCTCTGCGTGGTGTTTGGGATTGCGAAGGCTGATTGCAAAAGGGATCTGGGGGTCATGATTTGTATGAATTTAAAGCCCCAAAATCTATGTATAAGTTGTCGAAATAAGACAAAGAAATAAGATGGACTAGGTGAGGGGTCAGCCAGGTGCAGGTAATAGTGCAGGTGCAGGGAGGGAGCCAGGTCAGGTGGGTCACCTGATGCAATATATCTTAGGCAAGTGAAGCTTAATTATAATCAAACATACAAGTATCATACATTAGCGTTCATGTGTACTCACTAGTTACGTGCATATGTGTGTGTGTGTGTGTGTGTGTGTGTGTGTGTGTGTGTGTGTGTGTGTGTGTGTGACCTTGGCGTGCTTGCAGGCTTGAAGATCAACTACAACCGGTCCCCTTTACAGCCATCGGTTGGTTAATGCTTCGATATATTTCTTGCAGATGTCTTATACTTATTTTTTAAACTAAGTATGGCGTTCAACAACGTCCCTTGCCAACCCGTTCCATCTCTTCTCAACCCCTACACTGTGGCTCCAGTACCCATCCACTTCCTCTATAAAGCTGACTTAATGGTCCACTGTTGATGTTCCTAATAATTTTGTATGTCGTAATCATGTCCCTACTTTTGTATGACATTAAATTTGCCGATTTATTCACGGTAATTTATGTCTCTCAGTTCTAACTAAAGCATTTATTCATATTTCTGTAATTCGTATAGTTTTACTGTGTCTTTGTGTATATAATGCACGTGCTGCATACTTAATGGGGAGTCTCACATACGTTATACTCAGCATTCTGAAGGCTCCCTTGTGTAGGTATTTCAAGTCTATCAGGTTAGTATGGGTGACAGAGGTCATGCTGCTTGTATGACCTTGAGAACCATAGACCTGCAACAGTCAGGTGTTCATGTCCGCCCAAACGCATTCCCACGATGTTTACTTGTGGTGTTAAGTTAGTGGTTATGGCAAGTCCTCCCCACGACCCCCACCCCATCACTCACCCCAGGACCCCCACCCCATCACTCACCCCAGGACCCCCACCCCATCACTCACCCCAGGACCCCCACCCCATCACTCACCCCAGGACCCCCACCCCATCACTCACCCCAGGACCCCCACCCCATCACTCACCCCAGGACCCCCACCCCATCACTCACCCCAGGACCCCCACCCCATCACTCACCCCAGGACCCCCACCCCATCACTCACCCCAGGACCCCCACCCCATCACTCACCCCAGGACCCCCACCCCATCACTCACCCCAGGACCCCCACCCCATCACTCACCCCAGGACCCCCACCCCAGGACCCCCACCCCATCATTCACCCCAGGACCCCCACCTCATCATTCACCCCAGGACCCCCACCCCATCACTCACCCCAGGACCCCCACCCCCCATATATCAATCATACTTAATTAAGCGAGCAAGTCTCAAAGGTCTCAAAGACCCGTCAAAGCTGACTGCCATCACCTGCAGCCAGCCCTGCCACCTGCAGCCAGCCCTGCCACCTGCCGCCAGCCCTGCCACCTGCCGCCAGCCCTGCCACCTACCACCAGCCCTGCCACCTGCCGCCAGCCCTGCCACCTGCCGCCAGCCCTGCCACCTACCACCAGCCCTGCCACCTACCACCAGCCCTGCCACCTGCCGCCAGCCCTGCCACCTACCGCCAGCCCTGCCACCTACCACCAGCCCTGCCACCTGCCGCCAGCCCTGCCACCTACCACCAGCCCTGCCACCTACCACCAGCCCTGCCACCTACCACCAGCCCTGCCACCTACCACCAGCCCTGCCACCTACCACCAGCCCTGCCACCTGCCGCCAGCCCTGCCACCTACCACCAGCCCTGCCACCTACCGCCAGCCCTGCCATCAGGTCATCTACCTACCACGCCTTAAACAGCGGCTTGTTTGAAGGACACACCCGGCTACATGACTGCAACAATTATCAGCTTAGCAGAAGCAAGGTCAATTCACACGACCTGACCTCTGGTCAACTTGTGATCCTTCACCCTGTTATAGGTGTGACTTTTTAATTACTAAAGGCCGACAGTCTGGTGCCTCAAATATCCTGCCTGGTTGACTCAAGACAGGATGTTGTATGTAAAATAAAATATAACTAAACACCTTTATGGTGTTACACCACTATCATAGAGAAGGGCCACTATCATAGAGAAGGGCCACTATCATAGAGAAGGGCCACTATCGTAGAGAAGGGCCACTATCATAGAGAAGGGCCACTATCATAGAGAAGGGCCACTATCATAGAGAAGGGCCACTATCATAGAGAAGGGCCACTATCGTAGAGAAGGGCCACTATCATAGAGAAGGGCCACTATCATAGAGAAGGGCCACTATCGTAGAGAAGGGCCACTATCATAGAGAAGGGCCACTATCATAGAGAAGGGCCACTATCATAGAGAAGGGCCACTATCATAGAGAAGGGCCACTATCATAGAGAAGGGCCACTATCATAGAGAAGGGCCACTATCATAGAGAAGGGCCACTATCATAGAGAAGTGCCACTATCATAGAGAAGGGCCACTATCATAGAGAAGGGCCACTATCATAGAGAAGGGCCACTATCATAGAGAAGGGCCACTATCATAGAGAAGGGCCACTATCATAGAGAAGGGCCACTATCATAGAGAAGGGCCACTATCATAGAGAAGGGCCACTATCGTAGAGAAGGGCCACTATCATAGAGAAGGGCCACTATCGTAGAGAAGGGCCACTATCGTAGAGAAGGGCCACTATCATAGAGAAGGGCCACTATCATAGAGAAGGGCCACTATCATAGAGAAGGGCCACTATCGTAGAGAAGGGCCACTATCGTAGAGAAGGGCCACTATCATAGAGAAGGGCCACTATCATAGAGAAGGGCCACTATCATAGAGAAGGGCCACTATCGTAGAGAAGTGTCACTATCATAGAGAAGGGCCACTATCGTAGAGAAGGGCCACTATCGTAGAGAAGGGCCACTATCATAGAGAAGGGCCACTATCATAGAGAAGGGCCACTATCATAGAGAAGGGCCACTATCATAGAGAAGGGCCACTATCATAGAGAAGGGCCACTATCATAGAGAAGGGCCACTATCATAGAGAAGGGCCACTATCATAGAGAAGGGCCACTATCATAGAGAAGGGCCACTATCATAGAGAAGTGCCACTATCATAGAGAAGGGCCACTATCATAGAGAAGGGCCACTATCATAGAGAAGGGCCACTATCATAGAGAAGGGCCACTATCATAGAGAAGGGCCACTATCATAGAGAAGGGCCACTATCATAGAGAAGGGCCACTATCGTAGAGAAGTGCCACTATCATAGAGAAGGGCCACTATCGTAGAGAAGGGCCACTATCATAGAGAAGGGCCACTATCATAGAGAAGGGCCACTATCATAGAGAAGTGCCACTATCATAGAGAAGGGCCACTATCGTAGAGAAGGGCCACTATCGTAGAGAAGTGCCACTATCGTAGAGAAATGCCACTATCATAGAGAAGGGCCACTATCATAGAGAAGGGCCACTATCATAGAGAAGTGCCGCTATCATAGAGAAGTGTCACTATCATAGAGAAGTGCCGCTATCATAGAGAAGGGCCACTATCATAGAGAAGTGTCACTATCATAGAGAAGTGCCGCTATCATAGAGAAGGGCCACTATCATAGAGAAGGGCCACTATCATAGAGAAGTGCCACTATCATAGAGAAGGGCCACTATCGTAGAGAAGGGCCACTATCGTAGAGAAGGGCCACTATCGTAGAGAAATGCCACTATCATAGAGAAGGGCCACTATCATAGAGAAATGCCACTATCATAGAGAAGTGCCACTATCGTAGAGAAATGCCACTATCATAGAGAAGGGCCACTATCATAGAGAAGGGCCACTATCATAGAGAAGTGCCGCTATCATAGAGAAGTGTCACTATCATAGAGAAGTGCCGCTATCATAGAGAAGTGTCACTATCATAGAGAAGTGCCGCTATCATAGAGAAGGGCCACTATCGTAGAGAAGGGCCACTATCGTAGAGAAGTGCCACTATCGTAGAGAAATGCCACTATCATAGAGAAGGGCCACTATCATAGAGAAATGCCACTATCATAGAGAAGTGCCACTATCGTAGAGAAATGCCACTATCATAGAGAAGGGCCACTATCATAGAGAAATGCCACTATCATAGAGAAGGGCCACTATCATAGAGAAATGCCACTATCATAGAGAAGTGCCACTATCGTAGAGAAATGTCACTACCATAGACCAGTGCCACTATCATAGAGAAGTGTCACTATCATAGAGAAGTGCCGCTATCATAGAGAAGTGTCACTATCGTAGAGAAGTGCCACCGTTGTGGGACTGGGCACTGTAGCTTCCACCTTGAGTGAAGGCGTCCGCAAATATCTTTTGCACAGCAACATAAACTGTTGAACTCTCTTTATCACACATGTACTAACTCACTCGCAAATTAATTACTTGTGGATTTCTATCATTCCTTAATTGCTCGTAACTACCAGCAGCACATGTAGAGCAGTGTTGTTAATGATGAAGTTAGGACGTGTATGTGTGTGTGTCATTAACCAGGCCTCCCCCCCTGACATTGCGGGGGGGGGGGCTTGACAGCTGAGTGGACAGCGCTTTGGATTCGTAGTCCTGAGGTTCCGGGTTCTATCCCCGGTGGAGGGGGAAACATATGGGAAGAATTTCTTTGTCCTCTGATGCCTCCTGTTCACCTAGCAGTTAATAGGTACCTGGGAGTTAGACAGCTGCTACGGGCTGCTTCCTTGGGAGGTGGAGTGGGGGGGGGGGGTAAAAAAAATGAGGCCTGGTCGAGGACCGGGCCTTGAGATGATTTTGGGGCTTAGCGTCCCCTAGGCCCGGTCTTCGACCAGGTACACACCACCAGGAAGCAGCCCGTAGCAGCTGTCTGACTCCCAGGTACCTATTTACTGCTAGGTGAACAGGGGGCTTCAGGGTGAAAGAAACTCTGCCCATTTGTTTCCGCCTTCACCGGGGATAGAACCCGGAACCTTAGCACTGCGAATCCGAAGCGCTGCCCACTCAGCTGTCAGGCCCCCGTGCTAGATTTGGATCTTGGAAACTTTATTTCTCAGTGATTTAATGCGGTTGGTCGGGGACAGGCAGCCTGTGTATCTGTCTACTTTAGGCTTGTAATCAGCCCCCCCCCCAGGTACACACAACCATATACAAAGCTGTACAAGACATTCCGGGAGAGAAAGTGTTTATTATCTCAGAGGGAGCAGCGACAAAGGGAAGGAAAAAAAGGAGGAATGGGGGAGGAAGGGAAAGGGTGAGTGAGAGAGGAGATAAGAAGATGGTGTGAGAGGAAGGCGGAATTGATCAAAGATTCAGGCGACTGGAAAAAATGTAAATACTATTATTATTAACATCTTTAATTACAAAATTAATTACAATTTTGCCTAATCTGAGGATTTCAATTAAGTCTTATTAAAGCGAGGCTAATGCTGGTATTCACTGTCACGCAGGAGAGAGGGTCATCAAGTGAAACAAGAGACTTAGAGGTGGTACAAGAGAAGAGAAGAGCAGTGGAATGACTGATCAACGATCAGTCAGTTGTTCAGTTGCTCACTACAAATATATATTAATCAGCTTTAATATTATTGTGGTCAAGTTCTTGAGCCCATTGTGGTATATCCGTTAACTAAGCCCCGCTCCTGTGCCAGGTATGTCCACTACGGGCTCACCATAGCCCGTGCTACTTGGAACTTATATATAAGGGGGGGGAGAGGGGGATGCACATATAGGGGGGGACGCCAGAGAAGGTAAAAGTGGAATCCAAACTACACACGAGGGGAAAGGAGGGGGGGAGGGGGGGAGAGCTGAGAGTTTTATGGCGTTACTGGCGCCACACTCCCTCCGTCTCTCCCTCTCTCCCTCCGTCTCTCCCTCTCTCCCTCCGTCTCTTCTCATCTCTTCTCTCCCTCACTCACTCCCTCCGTCGCTTGCCCTGTTCTTCTCTACCTTCCCGCACTATCTTTTTCTCTACTAGGTGCTAAATCAAAGGTTCTAAGAAATACTCATAATTTAGTTAGCTCATCTTCTATATGAAGGGTTAAGTATACCACCAACAGATTAGATTAGTTGAGTGACAACTAAGTCGAAAAGATTGGTTGAGCGGCATCGCGGTCTCAGAAGAAGAGTTAAGTAACATGGAAGACACATCAGAGGAATTATGATTCCGAGAGAGTGTGTGAGATGTTGTGGACGGGCGGCTGGCGGGCCGGAAGTGTGTACAGACGCCGGCAGGAGGCGTCGCTGACAGGAAAGTGTGAGGAAATTCGAGGCTCCCCGCCTGAAGTAAACAACTGGCAGTAATCAGGCTCTCGCCCACACTGTTTATCTCAACATTATCAGCACACAGCGAGAGAGAGAGAGAAAGAGAGAGAGAGAGAGAGAGCGAGAGAGACAGAGAGAGCGAGAAAGAGACAGAGAGAGAGACAGAGAGCGAGAGAGAGACAGAGAGAGCGAGAGAGACAGAGAGCGAGAGACAAAGACTGAACACAATAAGAGGAACAAACATGCACGAAGGTGAGCCAAGATCAGCCCAGGAGGAAATAAAGAGCCTCTGGGAGAAAACAAAATAACCAAAACAGAACCAAGATCCAGGTTGCCAAACCCAGAACAGCGGAGGACCACACTTTTAGTGCAGACCTCATTTGCAGGCTAGATAACAAAACAAACAAGTCAGAAGTCAGTATAGTGTTGCAGGAAGTGACAATGCAGGCAGCCACAGTGCAAGAAGCAAAGAGGAACACTAACCAGCAGCTAAGATAAACTTAACACTGGTAGTGGCAAGACTAAAGGAACCAATACATGGAGACAATTCTGGGAACCAGCCAGGAACTAAGGGTAATTACTTAACCTATCAACGGTATAGGTTAAGTAATAATTGTAATTAAGAAGCAATAAGATGCTTATCTTTACATACTAAGAAGGTTAGGTGAGCTCGGTGTTTTCTATGAAGCTTTTCAAGGTAAACTAAAATATTTACAATAAATTAGTATGTCACATATGCACTTATTAAATAAGCCAATATTGACTATAAGCAAGTGCGAGAACGGGTCGCACACACACACAGGCCCCCCACACTCAACACTCTATACACACAGGCCCATAGCTCCCACTCTGAGGGCGGGGCCACCAGAGCAGAGGTGTCCGGAGGGAGGGTGATGGTGCCAAATGTGAGTTGAAGTTTACTAACGTTCAATTCTCGTATGTCTGTCCATTAGCGGCCCCTTGCCGTCGCCCCCGCCGCCCCCCTCTCCGCTAATAACTTGAGCCACCCACCACAAGAACTGCTCCACAAACCTTCCTCCCGGCCACACTGACGGAAAATATTCTTGTGTGCGTTTTCTGTATGGACGGTGGTAATGATATGCTGTTTATTGTAGACCCGGGACCCGCAGTTTACTGTAGATCCGGGACCCGCAGTTTACTGTAGCTTGTCGGCGTGACTGCTGATTGATTGATGCATGTCTTCCATCCGGGCTAAGGACACAGTCAATCACCCTCACTAACCGAGTTCGCCCAATGGAATCACAAGTGATGTAATGGGATCGAACTCTCATCGCTGGACTACGGTAGCCCAGTTAGCTTTGGGAAGCCGTTTAAAGGATTAAATCCCCCCCCCCCACCTCTTTGAGAGATTACAGGGGACTCAAGGGGGTGAAATTATGTGTAATACTGATAGAGAACTGTACACAGCTGTGTTTATCAACAGTGGCCAGCGTTCTCGCCTCATAATTGAAGGATCCGGATTTAATCCGTTTGCAAGACAGGAACGGGTTTTTTACGCCTGATGCCTGTATAAACCTAACCAGCCTCCTAGCACACAGTGAGGCCTAACAAGACTCATAATGTAGTTGGAAACAGATGACCGTTGTCGGGGACAGGAAGCCTGTACTCAGGCTTGTTCAGGTCCCACTTGGCCAACTACTGGCCTTCCATCCACGGGATGCAACACAACAGTTGCATAACTCCCGAGTACGTATTTTACCGGTAAGTGAACAGAGGCATTCGGTGTAAGGAAACCAGCCAAATCATTTCTCCCCGTTCCGGGGATTGAACCCGGGTCCCTCCAGGAACCAGGAGGCCTGGTCGACGACCGGGCCGCGGGGACACTAAGCCCCGGAAGCACCTAAGGTAACCCCTTGATTGTGAGGACTGGAACATGAACTTTACAGAGACCCGAAGTTTACAGCCATGAATGTCAATGTGATGGAAATTAGTCCTTTAGATACTTGGTCTAAGAATATAATTGTTTAATATTCTTCATTCAAGAATGTTAGGCCTTATCCCGCCATGCACAAACAACTACAAGTCCAGAGTTATGCCTCCAGACAAGAGCCAGAGCTGAAAGACACGAGTTATGAGGAAGACATGAAAGCAAATCTCATGCTGCCGGAAAAGTAAGAATCAGGGGAGACCTGATCCTGATATAAAAAACATTCAGGGGTGTTTGACAGTGTACACGATCAGAATATTTGACATGAAAAGGAAATTAACACAGCTGGTTTCAGGAATATTAGACCTAATAACTTCAGTAGTAAAGAACTGAACCCAGATTAATAAATCATTCACATAACCACTAACGAAACCTATATATCTTTCTATAATCACGGCGGCTTTAACATTTCTTAAAGTTGATGAGCTCCGAAGTACTCCGAGGTTGTTTATAACAAGAGTAACCTTGGGTTGTCAAGTTCCAGCTCCTCAAGTGTGCAAACAGCTCCTCAATATGCAAACAAAGACGCCATGAAAGATGCACAGGTTTCGGAAGAGGTTGCATAAACGCTTGACGAATCCTGGCCCAGGAAATAAATAGTATAGACCGACGCAGTAGTTAAGGCACGCGGCTCTCGGCAGATGGAACCCGAATTTCATTCCCGGCCAAAACGAGACATTTAGTAAGTTTTATTTACACCTGATGTTTCTGTTCACCAAGCAGTAAATTGGTATGCTGGAGTTATGCAACTGCTATGGGTTGTATCTTAGAGAAGGTTAGTTTGTGGATTAGAAGGACCTCGATAAGCCTAACAGGATTCATATTCCGGAAATAATAAATCATATGACAGAATTCAGAGGATTTAGAGACCTATATATATGCCAGCCGACCGAGGGTTAATAAGCAGGACCCAAGAGCTGAAGCAAAGCTAGAAAAGAGTACACACACACACACACAATTTCAACTACTTAAAAAAGGTGTACACAATACAAGAGGAACACTTGGGGGAGCCGGGAATAACAGTGTTAACTATGACAGGCAGAAGACGAAGCCTCACCTTGTTACAGGTGTCCAGGATCTCAAACAGGACGGGCTCCCCATCCACCAGGATCTCGTTCCTGTACCTCTGTTCTGTAAAGCAAAGCAAGAGTAATAACAGAAAGCAATAACAGTAAGTAATAGTAAGAGCAATAAATGAATGACGAAGCTGCTGGAGGCAGCAAAAGCTATTAACCCTTACACTGCTCCAATCGCTTATTGGCGATGTTCTCTTGTGCTCTAATCGCCACGTTTATTTTCATATGATTTGCTACCTATTTTTTCATCCCCCATACAAGGGTCTGTCCCCTTAACCTCGAACAAACATTCACATTTATAGATATATATATATACGCACATACACCAGGAGGAAAGCCACATCATCCATTGAATAGTGAGACACGCTACCACATTATCACTCCTCAATCTCATCAAGAACTAATATTTTCCCATCTGGAAGGCACAGCTGCCACCAACTCACGCGTCTCTATATTTACCCAACCCGGACATTTCTTACCTGTCCACTCAATGACAGACAGTGTCAGCGACTCGGCCCTTGTGCTGGCTGACTTTTAAACCTTCCAAAATGCATTACCAATTTGGGTAGACAAATATCAACGGGTGCAGTAGGCGTATACCAAACACGTATCCGAATACAATAGGCATATACCCAACATTTGACCGAGTACAGTAGGAGTCTACTGTACTCGGTCAGGTTGTATTGTGTTACGAGGGAAAGAATGAAGACTGCTCTGTCATCGGAGTGGACACTTTTCCCCCTATGTGCCAGGGGGGAAACTGGCACATACCAGAAACCCAGGGACCTCAGCAGCTCCTCTGAGGATCGTCAGACACAGTCCCCGAAATGTGGTATTGTAGAGCGAGAGGTGTTAAGGTGGTATGTACTCGTGGCCGTCACGCTCGCAGAGTTGCACTGCTGTTCCGTAATTATCGGTGGACACCTCTACACCCAGTGCCAAGGAATCCACTCCTAAAACATCAACTACACCAAAGATAGCGTTCGCAATTTATGAGGCTAGGATACCCTGATGTCGTACATCCTATTCTGGCTTAGGCTTCCCGTAGCGACGTCGCTAACATCTCATCTAACTCCTGCTAAGAGTGGTCCAGGTGGGCATGGGTTACCCTGTCAACCACCTTCAGTTGACTTACAGCCTAGCCTCACCTTCCTCCACAGTGAAATTTGTCAATCCTTTACTCTGCAATAGTGTTCAATTGTTCAAGTCTTTCGCATAAATCAGTGCACGGCATAGATCAAACAGAAGTACATGGAAACAGTGTTTAAAACTGATACCAACATTTACCGAAGAAAAGTATGCAAATTAAATAATAACTTGCAAGCACTAGCCTCATCCGCCGTCAACTTAACGGCCACTCACGGCCTTGATCATATTAACATTACGCTACAGAAACAATTCTGGCAACTGTGGCATTCTTTAGTACATTAATTTACTTGTTCGGCAAATTAGGAAGTTTGAGAATCAAATCTTACTTTAAATTCCATATAATATCATAATCACTTGTGAATCTCTCAGCAGCACAGAGATTATAAATGAGCACATGAGATCATATATGAGCACAGTATAAATATTATATATATAACATAATAAAGTAATGCCTTACAGTTCCCTAAAGGAACTCCTAGCGAAAGGGGAACTCGGAGGGATTACTTAGCTAAACAGCTGATATGTTCAACAGGAGCGTTGAGTTTCACTCAGGTCACTCACTGTCTGGCTGTTGTGGCTGCTGCTTCGGTGAAGTCACTCCTCCACCAGCACTACGACTGCTTGGAGTCACACCATCACTCTGCTAGTTGCACCAACGCTTATCACTGGTACTGTAAATGTCTACAGTGACAGTACCAGTGATAAGATTGGTATTCTAATGCCTAATATGGTACACTAATGTCCTCTCGGCTCGGCAGGTAAAACACTGGCAGTAATCACTTGTCTTGCCCCTAGGCAAAAGGGTTATTCGTCAGTGCACTTCCTTGTCGTCCTGGTGACTGTCACGAACCTCGTCTTATCGTGGTTCTCTTGTGCACCAACTTTGCTAGATCGATTTACCGACTAACTTGCTAAGTCAGGATCGACCCGAGACACTTGACAGGTAACTCTCACTCATCGTATTACACGCCATCGACAAAGGGTGATGGAATCACCCCTATTTTGACTGAGCGCCCCCTGCTACAGAGTCTTCCTGCTAACAATCGTTCCAGTCACTCCGCATGTCCACCTTGTCCGCAAGGTTGTCAGCTGCTCCTCTCGTTGTTGGGAAGTATTCTAGCTCCTCTTGGTAAGCTCAACTTGCCACACAACCTCGAATTAACAGTAAACGTTTGGAGTACTGATACGTATGTCCGCGCCTGGTCAAGTCCGCAAGGTCAGTGATCCCGTTTGCCAATCTGCTCTCCCGTATCAGGACTCGCTGGTAACGTCACTGCAAGACTCTTACTCATTGGCTGCAGCCCCGCAGCTCCAACCAATCATGTCTCATGTCTCATACAATCTAGACCAATGTCATCACATCAAGCAGGAACTTGTTCTCCGTCAGCTACTTTCAGCGCCATATTGCTTAGTTTCTCCCAGCCAATTCCTTAGAATCAAATTTACACTGAAATCATGCCTCTTCCACTCTCCTTCATAACTTAAAACATTTTTTGGGACGTCTATTAACAACCCACAGAGTGGATAGTTCATCAGCTTACTGGTTTGTGTATCTGCTTGAAAAATTAACAATAAAGATTAAATTAGAATAGCCTCGTACACGTGAAGCTGGGAACGCGTGGATAAAAAATGCATGTCATCAAAAACTTATGACTAGGTAATCTCAACACATGTGTGTCGTAATCGAGCGGCCAAAAACAATATTGTCAAGAAATAATTCAATAAGCCTCAAAATTTGGTCATAAATATGGCTATAAGAACATAATTATGCAATACTCAAACTGAGAAATCTTACTCATAGTTTACCGTTAAGTATCAGACTGCCTCGTTAATCACAACATGTTAAGCATTGAAAATTTACGATGCGTCTTGCAAAGCCTTCAGTCTTGTAAAATTAACTCTCCAATTTTCATTTTATAAATTATGTGGTTTGTTGAAGTTCTCGAGATCTTTGGGGACTGAGGGAGGTGGATACAAATTAGCTGAAGTTACGGTAATGTACCCAAGTAAGATGAGGTGAAGTGAGGTATTACCCAGTTGATGCTGGCTGGGGCAGTGGGTTCGGTGTGAGGTAGATAATCTGTCTTGATCTTTAGGATATACTAAAAGTTGGCTGTTGATAGATGGATGAATGTGTTTGATATGTAGTGCTTGGCCTATGTCTAATCTTCTATTGTCGTTGTTTCTGCTATTTCGGAGATGTTGGTCAGGATATCTCTGCGGATAGTCTGGTTGTGTAGAAATTATGTATACTTTGATTTAGCCTTTTGGTTTTTGTATTTTCAGGCGCCTTCAATGAGACGTTGTCTTACCTATATACTCAGATCTTTAATGGTGACAGCCGTTAAGTGGGCATGTAAAGGCATGACATTCCTCTCTTTCAAAAGTTTCGTTTAGTGTTATCCTATTTCTGTACATTTGGCACAGAAGTTGGGCATATGTTTTGTAACAAAAGGAAATTCTGGGTACAAGATTTTAGAGCAATGGAATGCTCCTAATGCGTATTTTCAAAGTTTTGTGTTGGAATTTTTTTTACATTCAGCTCAGTAAACTCAAGCAGCATAAATGAATCCAATATATACGATGCATTGTCTATTCCTAGGATATTTTCTACCTTCAGTAACAAAAAATGAACAAAGAATTTCAAAGTAAAGTAGTTGATACACCATGCATACCAGAACATTTGTGCATCATACAGATCAATCCTTCAAATTACTTAAGAGACAGGTCCTTAAAATATAAATTTAAATGTGGTGATTGTCCTTGTATATAAATCACCAGATGTACATCCTCAGAAGTTTTAAGACCAACTTACAAAAATAGAATACTGCTTAAAAAAAACTCACAAACCCTGCCCCTAACATCATCTTCCTTGGTGATTTCAACTTAAGGCATCTTAAATGGTAAACTGGAGAATCCCAGGAGGCAGTCCGAGTTAACAGTCACACACAACTGACTTCTTGCAGATGTGTGACAGATTTGCTTTAAACCAGCAAATAGTACAAACAACTAATTAGCAACATAATGATTACAGATACATGTTACTCAAATCACAACCTAACCAAAGTTCAAACAATCATGGGAAATAGACCTGTGCAATCAATCCCAAATCCAAGAGGAGGAAAATTCAGAACGTTCAGTTTTATAACAAACTAACTGGGAAAGAATTAACCAAGACCTCGCAGAAATATGATGGGAAGAACTACTAGATAATGCAAACTTAAACCAGTACTTCGAGAAAATAGGCACAGTGGCACTAGATACATGTGTCAGTAGCACAGTTGCACTACACACATGTGTCAGTAGCACTAGATTCATGCGCTAGGCTGCTCGCAGCCTAGCGCATGAATCTTCTGCAGCTATTTCATCTATCAATGTCACCAAGACAACGAGTGACATCATAAAGGCGCCACAAAAACAACGAGCACACACACACACACACACAGCAGGTCACACTACACTATATTGGAGGAGCCTGTGTTGACGTCACGAGAGAGGACATACGAGCATCGACTTGCGTGTCTCTCTCACTATAACAACAAAGCCTCTTAGGTCATCCAGCCAGACAAGTATTCTCATCTCGTGTCCTGGAAGCATGCCAACTTGTTCTTTAAGGAAGATGACAGACGAAAATGCTTTGAAGCCGTCGTCATGCACAATACCATCACTGTGCAGACGCAAGTGCCATCTAGTATCACATAACTGAACTGGATTTATGGCGACGAGACGCAGCCGCCATGACACCCGCCACCTGTAAACAGCCTGATGTTGCTTCCCCCTGACAAACGACGTCGTTATGTTGTCCTTATTGCCCATTAGACGGCTGACCTCATTCCCCTCATGCCTTGTATAATTATATGCACAATGAAATTACAATAGTATGGTATATCAGAGGGAAAAGCTTGT